GAACATACTGCACCGAATCGTAGCTGCCACGTTTCTGAAACTGTCAGTCCAGAACGCATTGCCTACCACCCCATGGAAGCCCCTAAGCCTCTCAACGCAGTCGTGTGTACTGATTCCTGCCATCGTAGTCGTTCTGGACCTGTGGTTGAGAACGGTGAAGGGGTCTTCCAACCTTCGACTTCAGGCAAGTATGCGTTTATTGAAACCAATTCCTCGCCTGATCAGCCTCCACGTTTCAGCGCAACGTCTTCTTCACCACCGACTGAACCTTGCCTTTCCGATTGCCAACTTGTGGTGTATTATCAAAATGTTCATGGTTTTCGAACTATGATTGACGACTTATTCTTGACTGCTGTTGAGTCCAACTACGATGCAATAGTTCTTACCTGGCTAGATGATCGAATTCACTCAGCACAATTATTTGGCAGTAGGTTCTCAGTTTTTCGTAATGACCGTAACCGGATGAACAGTGCCAAATCACGCGGTGGTGGCGTCTTGATTGCGGTTTCCAAACGACTGAACTGTTGCCTCGATCCTGCTCCGGTTAGTACATCTCTTGAGCAGTTATGGGTGAAGATTACGACGTCACACAACATGATAAGCATCGGCGTTATGTACCTTCCTCCTGACCGTAAATCTAATTTGAGCTGCGTTGAGAACCATATCAGTTCCATTGGTGCTGTATTGTCCCGATTACATCACAACGATCTAGCTCTGCTATTTGGCGACTATAACCAGTCTGGGCTTGTTTGGATCCATTCCAACCATTAACATTCTTCGGTCGTACATGCCTGCTTCCTGCTGTGCTCTTTTGGATGGTTTTAGCCAAGGTTGCAAAGACTCATTTCAGCTAAAATAATGTTTTTCGGAATAATAAAACCAAAAGATGGTATGATGGCATGTTTTACTTGTAACTTACAAGAAGAGGTTACAAAGTATGCGTTGGAAACATAAAACCTGTACATTTTGCTTTCTATGAGTCACAATCAGCGGTTTGCTGATCGCTGAGTGAGTGAGTGAGTGAGTGAGTGAGTTTGTGAAAAATCGCTGATTGTGACTCTCATGAAGTGAAATAAACAGGTTTAATATGTCAAACACATTCTTTGCAACCTCTTCTTGTATCCTACCAATTCAAAATTTGATCATGGCATCTAATTATTTCATAATTTAGAAAAACATTGTTTTAGCTGAAATGAGTCTTTGCAACCTTGGTTTTAGCCTGCATGGTTTAATGCAAATTAATTCTGTACCAAACAGAAACTCTCGGCTGCTTGTCTTGTGTTGGTGAACGAAGCCTCCGCACTATAGTGCAGTGTCGCCGAGGCATCCGAGCCTCTGATACATCTATACGCCGATCATACAGCGTTGGAAGCATTCATCAATCGATCAGTTCCTGTTCTCTATGAAAACATCGTTGATGTACAAAACCTCGACTTTCGTAGAACTGACTACGTCGCATTGAATCACTCACTGGCCCAGGTAAATTGGCAGTCACTTGACTTGTGTTCGTCCATTGATGAAGCCGTTAACTATTTCGACGAAGTTGTTAGTCGATTAATAATGGATTGTGTGCCTCTGCCCCTGCTCCAAAACCTGCATGGTCCAATGCAACGATTACAACGTGTGAGATCGAAGGCTCTTCGAAAATACAGCCAGTCCCGTAATCCATTCACCAAGCGATTATTTTCGTTAGCAAGTAATTGCTACCGAATGTACAACCGATTTCTATACAAGAAGTACTCAAGACGTATGCAGACCAATATCCGGCGTAATCCTAAGCTATTCTGGACGTTTGTGAAGACAAAAAGGACAGAGGATGGGCTACCGGTTGAGATTCATCTAAGCGATATAAGAGCCAACACTTCTTTAGAGAAATGTAACCTCCTGGCTGAGCATTTCAAGAGTGTTTTCAACGATTCAACGGCATCGTTAAGCCAACTTGCTGAAGGGATCAGAGATACTCCCAGTGACGCGTTCAGCTTTGATATTTTCACGGTCAAATTGGACCTCGTCGACTTTGCCATCCAGAAGCTGAAATTTTCGAACGCTGTTGGGCCTGACGGCATTCCATCGTCCATACTCAAAAGATGCTCAACAGAGCTTTCCTCTCCGCTTTCAAAGCTGTTCAATATTTCGTTACAACAAGGTGTATTTCCCTCTCGTTGGAAATCTTCGTTCATGTTCCCGATTTTCAAGAAAGGAGACAAACAAAATGTGGAGAATTACCGAGAAATTACTTCACTTTGTGCCTGCTCGAAAGTATTCGAGATAATCATCAACGACGCTTTATTTGCCAGCTGTAGAAACTACATTTCTCCTGACCAACATGGTTTCCACCCCAAGCGTTCGGTCTCAACAAATCTCGCTCCTTTCATTTCCCTATGCCTATGGAATATGGAGGCAGGGGCACAGGTGGACGTCGTATACACGGATCTCAAGGCTGCTTTCGACCGGGTTGATCATGCCATTCTAATTGCCAAACTCGAGAAGCTTGGTGTTTCTCATGGACTCACTCGTTGGTTTGAATCGTATCTTACCAATCGAGAGCTTTGTGTGAAAATCGGGTCGGATCAATCGGATTATTTTTCAAACAACTCAGGCGTTCCTCAAGGCAACAATTTGGGACCGCTGCTATTCTCCATATTCATTAACGAAATTGGTTTGATACTTCCAACTGGCTGCCGGTCATTATATGCAGACGATGTCAAGATGTACGTGGTAGTGCGACGTTCACTGACTGCCTGCGGTTGCAGCACCTGATCGATAGTTTCGAAGAGTGATGCTCTAGGAATTTTCTCACGTTGAGTGTTCAACAATCCAATATCATCACTTTCCATCGCAAGCTAAAACCTATTGCATTCAATTATACGATCGATAACCAACCTCTGCAGCGTGTGGACAACGTTCGTGATCTAGGAATTACACTTGATTCTGCTTTGACATTTAAGCTACATTACACGGATATCATAGCCAAAGCTAACAGGCAACTCGGATTCATCTTTAAGATCTCTGATGCGTTTCGGGATCCTACCTGCCTGACAGTTCTATATTGTTCTCTAGTGCGATCGATCTTGGAATTTGGTGTAGTAGTATGGTGTCCGTATGAAACAGTTTGGATAATGAGGATCGAGTCTGTTCAGAGGAAATTCATTCGTTAGGCTTGTGAGTTTCCGCTAGGTCGATTTGGGAATCGCCCAGCGTTGGTTCCTGTAGTAGCACGTGATGTGTGGTGCACAAGGCTCTTCGCCACCTTCCTTGGTACGATCCTACGAACCTTCCACCCTACGAAGATCGTTGCCAACTACTGGGTATTGAAACTCTTGAACGTAGGCGGAAGATTAACCAGGCAGTTTTTGCAGCAAAAGTGCTGATAACCCTATATTTCGATTTCAACTGCACAGTGGAAACATTTCGTCAACGGATTCAACGTAGTCTGCTGGATAGATGACGATACGGTTCGACACATGCAACTGCTTTCAATCAGCTAATTGTTGCAAGACGGTGAGTAGCTGTCCATTAATGTACATCTGATGAATTTTGCTACCTGTTTCCTTTTTTGTTCCCGATCAACTCTGCGATGACGGCCTCGAGTGATCCAAGGACAACTCCATGCCATAGGACGAGGTTATTTATTTTTATGATGAAGACCATACATAGTATTATTATTATTATTCGGTGTTTATTTTTATAATTGATGTGTTTTTTGTCCTTTTTATATTGTTCCTTGTATTTTGAAAAGATATGGGGTTTTTACGCCTATTTGCCAAATAGGCTTTTCCCCATCAATCTTCATTTAGACAACAAAAGTCCGATGAAGAGAATAATAAATAAATAAATAAATAAAAAAGTGGTAATTAGTATTATTCTTATTTCATATGGTTTTAATATTCGTGTACTAGAATTTTTATAAATTGACATTCTAGTAAGGATCTTGCAATTTTATCTTAGTCTTAGAATTACGACAATTGATCTAATTTCGTTGACTTTTATTTACATTTGTATTGGAAGAATTTATACTTGCAATCTGTATCAGAGATATCTTTTTTTTTTTTAGTTACGAAATCTTGAAACCATATGTGTTTGGGATCTTAAAACTATTTTTGTTTTAACATTCAGAATGTTAAGAATTATGCATGGACATATATCTTGAACATTTTTCTAAGTCCTAAATGTATGGAATTTATTCTGTGTGCACTTTACCACTTTACTTTAATATTCCAAATCCAAAGTTTAAAAACTCAATTCATTACAAAAAGCATGAACAAACGATTATTTCCATTGGGGATCCTTAAATCCCCCAATCGAGTTCCGAATCATTGTTCTGATGTAAAAACAAAATTTATTGTTTCACCATTAAAATAATAGTAAGCCTCAATGTCATATTATTAGTCACAGAAGAAATGAACCCAAAAACAAGCTGCCTTGACGCAATTTGAATAGCATCTTCGCAAGATTTTATTCAACCGTAGTTTAGCAAAATAAAAAAGCAGCAGCCCCCCTAGCCCCCCCCCCCCCCCCCCCCAGATAAATAATCTAGCTAAGTCAATGCATATCCCTGTTAAATGGCAAAGACTTTCATGTGTAACCTTGACAATCATCACCCATCGCATAAATATTCAACACCCAATCGGTATCTCCATTATACCCACCGACAACAGCAGATAGCTACTTCCTACTTATAATAAACGAGAACGTATCATCGTTGTTAGAGCAGCGATAATATATCGAGAGAAAAGGTTCAATATTTAGCTTCTGAACCAAAAACCACTCCGTGTGACGCACGGCGGTTCAAATCCATAAATATTCAAATTTGCCCACCCTATTATCATACCGAGGAGGTGATAACACTCAGGGCAGTCAGGTTTTCTCCATCGATGATGGAGCCAACTGGCGCTATTTTTGGCTTTATGTGCCTTGGCTCCAAACACCTCCGAGCTTAAACGGTTAATTCCTGCGTCATCAGAGGTAGGTACCTATTTGTGTTTGCAAGATGATCTTACCCAAACTTGGCCGTCTCCGGGTTCATCATGGCCAGCTGCATCCGTCGTCGGGTCACGTCCAGAGGGTAGGAAAAGGATTGCGCCACTGCACCGGCAAAGCCACCACACAGCAGTTTGGCCGGCACCGCGAGCACAAGGCCACCTGTTACGAAACGGAAAGACAAGCGATTGAAAAAACTTAAATCAGAGCGAAAGTGAAAAAAAAAATCGCGGCGCAATGACCATCAAATAAGAGGGTCAGTCTTCAACTAAGGAATGTGCTAAAAGTCCTCCCACGGTTGGGTATTGCACGTGTGTCAACACTCCAGCAGCACCGCAAAGAGTGAGTGTTGATTCAATACAATACAGCGCAAACAGAATCTCGCTTGGAGTCGTTACAAAAGCAGCATGATTTCTCACGCTGCTGCTGCTGCTTCCCCTGTGGTAGATGTTTGTCAACCCCCAGCAAGCTTTCGCGCGCCTAGCCCAATGACAATGTCCAGCTCGTGCGGTGTCAACCAGTTATTGCGGAGCTGACCAAAACGCTGTCTCTGCCCCGGGGGCACACACTCTATACATATTTTTCGATTTCGTCACATCTACGCAACGGACGACAACAACCAGCGTGCCATGAGTCAAGACGCGCGAGTTACGTGAAGGAAATTCCAACGAAAGAAGACAAACCAGCCTCCGATCTCTCCCGAACCCTTACCAGTGTTTCTCTCCAGCTTGTCGCACGTCAGTCCGGGAACGTACTTCATGCAAAAAAATTTGAGCATCTCGAAGCAGTAGAAGGAAAAACCCGCGTACGGCACCATACCCATGAGGGTGGGTACGAAGCCTCGGTACAGTGCCCGGAAGCCGCCTTCCTGCAATGAAAAAACAATGGCAATGGTGTTACCTACTACAGTTCATTTACGAGAACAAGGGAATGCCCAGAACTTACAGTCTTGAAAATGGAAATGGCCGTGTGCACGATTCCGTTGTACCGGTGCTCTCCGGTAACCTGGAACGCCAGTCGGGCACGGATCGTGTCCAGAGGGTAGGTCAGCGTGACGGCCGTGACGCCGGCTCCGGCACCGGCGATGAATTTGTCCGAATGTTTTATTGTCCAATTGTTGCCTAGCAGCTTGCATAAATACTGGAAAAAGAAAAAATGTTTTCAAATTAGTAATGCGCTCATTTGATTGAAATTTAAAGATTTGTGGATATTGCTTTTAAAGGTTACGCTTATTACCATTGGACGAAGATTGTCAGTTAATGTTCGATTAATAATAATGATGTGACTCGTTCGCAAAATGGAAATTTGATTAAACAAATAACTGCTGTGGGAAATTCCCGAAATGTTCGTAAAAATATTTGTGTTATTAAGATTGTTGTTTGTCAAAAGACACTTTGCTATGGGAATTCCATTTGAGGGGCTCAGATTCGTCAAGAAAAAAAACAGCTTTTCAATAACATATTTGTATTCTTGAAGCTCAGGCAAATATTCATGACTTTATACATCGATATCTCCGGAGAACTTTGAGATTTGGGCGTAATTGCTTTTGTTAACAAACACGTCAATCAGTGATTTCTCGCTCAATCTCTAAAACTAACAACACAAAGAGGTAGAGGAATGACTCCTCTATCATTTGGTATAGTTTGTTTGTGATATTTAGCTTTTATTCGCAAGCTATCGGCGTTTGACTTGTTTGTTTACAAAAGCAATTACTCCCAAATCTCAAAGTTTTCCTGATCTCAATTTTTAATCTAATTTCCATCCTACTAAGCACAACCGCGCTTAACCTCTCTTTTCTATACGAGTTTAAACAAAAAAAAATAGAATATTTCTGTCAAAGATGACTTCTAAATTTATTCGACTTTCCGTACGTACCGTTGGATTTGATGAGTCACAAATTGTTGAGATATAGTTAGTTAGTAAGTTATCTTTATTGAGGAGGCTTTCAGCTCAACGCTGGTTCGTCTCCGGCCATTGTTGATTTTTTTTTGTTTATTGATTTAATTGATAAGGCTCAAACGAATTTACTTTACAGAGCCGAGGATTCTTGGTCACCATACTGCCGTTCTACGCATATCAGTCCCATGTTTCAAAAGTTGCTTCTGACAAAATCGCGAATAATGTTTCGAATCATTTCTGCTCGTTGGAAGAAATATGCGTTGAGACAAGTTTAATAAGCGCATTGTTCACATTTCGACAGAATCAATATGTTTTAGTGAAAACTACACTGCCGGTGGAAGCATAACTGTCCCATGTGACATTTCAACTTTTTTGGGATTATGATGCTTAACGGGATAAATCAATACATATTTCTGAAATATTATAAACATGCTGTTTATTCTAGAAAAATTTGAAAAAAATGTGAAAAATGGACGCATATCTGTGCCACTGCTCCAACTTTTAATACGTATAAGAAATTATTCAAAAATTATAGTCTGTTATCCAATTAATACATCGTAAACATATTACAAGCTCCAAACGATTGCCCAAATCGTAAAATTAATCTTTTAGTTAATTGGATGATACCTCGATAACGTCGTAAGCACATTAACACCTTTTTAAGGAAAATTTGAGCTATCATTCTCAGTTCTGTTACTATTTACAAACAAATAAATTAAAAAATGTACTAATCAACTTGCAACACCTTACTCTATTTGTACCTTTTCGTGACACATATGATTATTTGGTATTGAAAAACTATGGAGTAAAATGATGAGATTTATTTTAAAAATAAAAGAAATGCATACAACGGTTAACCTTAAATAACTATCATTCCGATGCTTGTTGCTTGGTCGGAAGACCAACTAAAAATGATGTTTCGTCTTCTCCAATAAGGGCTTTCCTATCTACTTCAATTCCACAAGGAGACCTTTGCCAGAGTACGTTAGCTTCAGTAGAGAACGTATCCTTTTCGATCAGCTGGAGTTGTTTCTTGGAAAACAGTTTGCAGTATTTAAGGTCCTCACTGTTGATGTTGCTTGCGTATCGTAGCTCATAACTTCCTTTTTGAAAAAACCAATTTTCTCATGATGTCCACGATGGCTTGAATAAGTTCAACGTGTACTGCGAGACATACAACTTGGCTCGGAACGACACGTTCGAGACGCATTTTTTGCAACCGCTGCGTGAATGAATGAGCGGCCATAAAAGTATGGCCTGATTCAAAAAACTTGAACAGTATTTGCTCAGCTTGAATTTCCGTACTGTTCATCAGAAGGATGCTGTGTTGAAACAAATTCCAATTCTTGTTTTGGGATGAGCAACTGTCCAACCAAAATGTAAGTTTGTTAAGGTGAGCATGCTTATTAATTACTCTGAAAAAAAAAACAACTAAGAATGTCATTTGCAGTGCGACCACTGATCGACTTGGGCCTAATACATGCAGACACTGGAAATGATCGTGCGTATGCGCCAACAGGAGCAAATGTCTCGTTAAATATTAATAGCTATCACTATCACTGGAACCACCGTACTGCTTAAAATATTCTATGGCAGACGTTTCCGGCCCACATTTAAATCAGTGTCAACATTTCAAAGGGGCGTAATTGCTTTTGTAAAAAATGGCTTTAGCAGGGCTGGTAGTGCTGATGCGATATAATAGTAGTGACTTTAGTGACTAAAATGACGGAAATAGTGACCAAAAAGTGACTTCTAAATACTAAATAAGTAACCATTTATATGGTTACTTAGAAATTCAAATACGATTTGATATTGAAATAAACTTTGTATGTCATGGAACTTAAAATCAAATTTCACAAATTCCTCTAATTTAATCGAATCTCACAACGGAATCTCCTGTGAAGAGCATTTGAAGTGATTTGAATAATTTACTCTTGCTTACGTTATACATGATGACTAGCAAATCGTAATTCCCATTTTTTATGATCTTGAATTTGATTCTGCGTTCGAAATCTTTGAAATTTTGATATATCTAGGTAGAAAACTTTGATAATTCGCTAAAAACTTTTCACAGAATTTCTTCAGAATGATCTCCAGAACTTTTTTAGAATTATATAATTCCCCTTTTTTTAAACTTAGAGGAAAATAAACTTTTACAAAAATAATATTACATTCTTGAAATTCTTTGAAGAACATTCAACAAAATTCTTGGAAATAGATTATTTTCGTAGTTGGAAATGCTTAACATCAAATATCAGAATTAAAGTGGACATTTTATACGATAGATAAGGAGATGACAGTAAAGAGTTGATAGTTCCGGCAGTGTGAAATTTGTATATAGAAAGTAGAAAGCGAACAAAGGACAATTTTGAGGAAGGTAAGAATCGGGTAGAGCATCTCCTTTACCAAGCTCATCCGCAATGAGGGATGGTGAGGGGTGTTTCCCCCTGCCACCACTGGCAAAAGGGATGCTCGCCGATTTGCTCATGTACCTCCGATGTGCGGAGAAACAGTTCTATCGGTTGTTTCACACTCTAGTCGCCATCTGACGTAAACAACTACCCGATTCGTACCTTCCTCAAAATTGTCCTTTGCTCGCTTTCTACTTTGTATATACAACGTTCACACTGTTGTACTATAACGGAGCTATCAACTCTATAATTTAATCTCCTCATCTATCGTATGAAATATCTACTTTAAGTCTGATATTTGACGTTAAGGTGGTTCGCTGTGAGATCCTTATTCTCGCTACCACTTCGAAACTTTAAGTGCACAAATATCAGCTTCCACGACACGTACTACAATGAAACTGTTACTCTACGTTTGCTGAGCTGCAGCATACATGCAGTAGCAATTTCAGGTGAAATGGAACTCTAATTTCCGAGATGTGTGAATTGAAAATTCGAGGTGGAAATGCATTTATAGCCTACGTGGTGGCCATTTGTGAACTCTACAAGGAATCACCTTAAGCATCTCCGACTATGTAAATCGTTAAATTCACACATGATTAGTTAAAGTAGATTATTTTAGTTTTTATTGATTCTTCTTGGAACTCCCCTGAAGGCTCCTTCCATAAATCCATTTTAAATTTATTCGAATTCTCTTTAGAATTTCCATGCAATTAACCTCAGAAATTTCATAAATTTATGCTTAGAATAATCCTGGACTTCTCCCCTGCATTCAATTGGAAATTCAATTCGTATTCTCCTTAGAATTCCCATAGTATTTCCTCAGAATTCTCAAAACAAAAATCCATCACAGAATAACTGTGAAAATCTTCTCAGAATTCCGTTGAGATTGAACACTCAAAATTCGATTCGATCTCAATTATTCTCGGAATTTATTTTGAACTCTTAAGAATTCGCTTGGATGTATCCAATCCGCATCCAATCATTCTTCTCAGAACTCTCGTTAAAATTCACTCTCAATTATATTGGAATTATTTCCAAAATTGTTTCGGAGCTGAATTTTGCGTCTCTAATAATTTAAACAATAATCAAAAGCGACGCTCGTATGTGTTAAGCCAAGTTTAACTATGTAGGTAAACCTGGCTTAAGATTTAAGCGGAGATGAAGAAATCGGCACTTAATTTCATTTCTCTGATATATCTTGGTGTCATCCCTAGAATCGTTTCAAATTATCTTAAATTTACTTTGGATTTTTTAAGTTCTTATTATCCTTGAAGACTTTTGAAAATCTATCATAGGCAAATACCTTTAGAACGTTTCCAAGGCTTACAATTTATTTTCTGGTAAAGGAGGTATATTTTCCCCGATTTTTAATCGAAATTAAAGGCATTTCCCAATAGTTTTCCTGGTGTTCTAAAGTTTTGCAATTCACTGGTCACCCTAGTTAAAATTTTGAATTTTTAACAGATATGTATATTTTGTTAAAACTACTGTAGACTTTCTTAGTGCCAAGTACTCAATTTAAACATTTTGTTGGTATTTTTATATTTCACTATATTTTAAGTAGCGAAAAAGTGACTTTAGTGACTATTTTTAGGGAAATAGTGACTTTAGTGACTTTTTGGTGTAAAAAGTGACTTTTTAGTGACTGGCTTCAAAATAGTGACCAAGTCACTAAAAAGTGACCTGCTACCAGCCCTGCTTTAGCCGTCGATATCTCGGAAATAAATGCTCACCCCTCCAAATTAACAATGCTAGCTGGTAGATGAAACATTCCTTAGCCTGTGTCTCTGTGGTGTCATTAATTTTAATGAGTGAACTTTTTTAGCCGCG